ATTAGAAAGATACATGATCAACAGCAGAAACAAAATAGAATCGATTAAATTGGCAAAAAGTAATTGCTAACGAAAAATAGCAAACAAAAATAAAAATAAAGGATTAAACCGATTTAACTTATCAGAATTTCTTCCCTCCTCCAAAAACAAACACAAAAAAGGTTCAGATTAAGTTTTGCTAATAAGAGAGATATTTTGCTAGAAAGAGATATTGCATTTGAAGAGGTTAATAGTTTTCCTTTTATTTTATTTAATGTTATTAAAGTCATCCTCAAATAGTTTTCCTTTTATTTTATTTAATGTTATTAAAGTCATCCTCAAACAGAAGATAATTAAAAGAAGGAAAACACAGTAAGAGACAGTGAGAGAAGATTGAGAATATAATTGAAATTATCTGGAAAATGTTAAAAGGTATTAAACACCCTTAGAAAATGGAAAATGTTAAAAGGTATTAACCACCCTTAGAATTAGAATATCTGTGAAAGTTTAAAAGAGATATTGCATTTGAAGAGATTAGTAGTTTTCCTTTTATTTTATTTAATGATATTAAAGTCATCCTCAAACAAAAGATAATTAAAAGAAGGAAAACAAAGGAAGAGACCGTGAGGGAAAATTGGGAATATAATTGAAATTATCTGGAAAATGTTAAAAGGTATTAAACACCGTAAGAGAAAATAGAATATCTATGAAAGTTTAATGAGTATTAAATGGTTTGTATGAAAATAATACTATAACAAACATATATAAATATTTCAAGACCTAATTCAGGCAAAGACTCTAACGTTCCCATGAAGTATAACACATGTGTCAACATAAATTAGAGAACCAATTTTGTAGAAATTCAAATTTGAAACTGATGTCATGGGCTCACATAGGTTGACTTGGATTTCAATGGACTTTCATTAAGGATAACGATGGAATGCCTAAGTTAACCAGGTAAGTGACTTACTATCGGCATGGTTATAGTTGTTGTTGACACGTGCTCCGTGGTTCTGCACGTCTCATATATATTGATATGTGTGAATTGTCTGTGGATCGATATGCTTCTTGTTTGTTATGTATATGTTATAATATGTGAATTGTTTGATAATAATTACGGTACGATGTGTTCAATGATATGTTTGAGATAGGATACGAGAAGGATGCACAAAACGAAATGTAATGATAGGAGTCAAATACGTTCATGAAACATTAAGGTTAGGTTACATATCGGAGTGATATGGATAAGAGAGATTGATGAAAGAATACGATTAGGCTACGGGTAGAAAGGGATAGGTTTGTGATAGATTGATAGAACAATAGCGTTAGGATTGATAGGACGATAGCGTTAGGCTACGTTCTTGTGATGATATGACTGAGGTACGTTCATATAATGATATGTTTGTGATAGGTATAAGAACATTAAGGCTATGATAAGTTAGAAAACGATATGACTACGATTTATGTTATGACTTGTTTATGATATGATACATTGTGATGCAATATGTCATGGTATGATGTGTATATGATGAAATGTTATGTTAAAAGCATAGAACGTTATGTTAGGTCTCTTATATTTGAATGTAAATAGCATGAATTGTATGACATGAAACACGATAAACTGTCTGGAACTATAACCCCGTAGGAAAATGTATGAAATGTAAATTGAAAATGAGAATGACATGAAGCATGGAACGTGACAGGGGGGTTATGTTCATTAATGATAAATGTAGAAGTAGGGGGACCTCATGCATTATGTGTGTTCATACATCTAGGGGATACCCCTATCCCATTACGAGGGTACGGACGCGTACATCCAATGGCAGGACAACGATCGTTATGCTTGCATAGCACTGTCGTGACGGTTACTAGTTTTAAGGGGTCCCGGCATAAGGGGCTCCCAGAGTAAGCCCACCGGATAAGGAAAGTGGCCCAACGGTGTGCAAACTAGCTGGTGAGCCCATACTCGCACGTATGGGCATTGTGTAGAGTATATGGTACATGTCCACGATTACCCGTTAGGACAGTACCGTAGGGAAAACGAAAGATAGGTCCCATCATTTCATTGCATGTGATTGTTGCATTTAACCCCAATAGAGTGGGGTCACTTACTTAGTATTTATTTAAATACTCAAGTCATGTGCTACTACATGTTTCAGGTTAAGGCAAAGGCATTCCTGTACGGCTGACGACGGCATCGCAACTCGAGACCATGGCACATGCATAGGATAGTGGTATTTGTTTTCTTAGACTTTAGCTAGACTAGGTTATTTCTAACTTAAACTCTTATTCATTTTATTTAGTCTTTTGTAGTGTCGTTTTAAAGATGTTTTCGAAATACGTAAGTTCATGGTTCTGTTTTAAGATAAAGGTTATGTTTTATGAAATTTTAATGAAGTCTTCCACATTCAATGTTTATAGTACGTATACGGTAGAGACCTTAAATTAAATAGAAAATTTTGGATCCGTTACATATAATCTATCATAGAATGAGGATATCGTAAGATGTTCAAAAAAAATCATAATCTTAAAAACCCAAAAAATCTAAAAAAATTTATAACCCTACCATTTTAAGATAGTAAACTTAACCGGTATGGTTTGGGTTGAATTATTAACTTATTTAAGTTAGATTACATTTAATAAATGAAAATTTTATGAATTACTGTAACGGCCCTAGATTTCTACGAACCTAAAATCGTTATCGTCATCATAACATATGCTTTTATATGAAATTAAACATTTAAAATTTCATTATAAAGTACTGTCATGGAGTTACATGTTCAAAAACATCTTTAAAATGACATAAGGAAATACTAAATAAAACATTAAAAGTAAAAACATCCTACTCTAACCTAAGTAGATATCATTATCGTATGCACGTGTCATGGTCTCTACTTGTAGTGTCGTCAACAACCTACAGAGATGTCTTGTCTTTACTTGAAATAGAAGTAACGGTGACCCCACTATTGGGGTTAGGGAATGCAAACACATACAACCCATGATCTAGGGACCTATTGTTAAAACTATCATAGAAGTGACTACCAGTTCGGACAAAATTGGATGTGTAGTACTCTCTACACACAACCAACACGTGCAAGTGTGGATCCCTAGGTGGTTCACACCCCTAATCATAGTCGAGCTAGTTGTTCGTATCGATGTTCGGAGGTCATTAGACCACTAAGTATCATCATTATAAATGGGGAAGTAATCCGATATATATGTAACACAAAATGCAGGAGGTCCATATAGTTTTCATCCTTAAATCATCTTTATGACACAACCCTCTACCCGTTCACATATTACTCTAACTAACGTGCATGTATTGGCTTTTATACGTTCATCATCATTAACATTAACTAGGGTTGTGTCTTAGAAAAATAATCGTCATAATGCATCATAACATTTAATACATGCACATCATCTTAATATGCAATAACTTCGTACTAAGTCATCTTGTCATCATACATCTTACATCGTCATGTTGTTTTGCATCATCATATAATGTCATCATGTAACATTATTGTATATCATACAACATCATATAGCATTATCATATAACGTAGACACGTCATCGTGAATGAGCATCATTTGTAGCAAAACATCTTAGTTTAGTGAAAATCAAATGTAACCAAAATATTGTCAAAGTAAGTTCCGGAGTTTGATTGTCAATTCCCCATTCACATACAGTAACAAATAGTTTTACAATTATTTTTTAATCTCCAAGTCCCATGCAGTAGTAAATAATTTCAATCTTCGGGCATATCGTGTAGCTTCAATTCACATACAGTCGCAAGCTAATGGCAAACTTCATCATGATAGATAATATTGATAACTTTGCAGGTGAACGTGCATTTGGAGAAGGAGGTGACATGTGTCAGGCATCGACAGAGACACATGTCGGCTAACAAGGAAGGAAGCACGGCTGGCCGAGTGAGGAATCATGCGGTTGTCTGATTGGTGCATGCAGAGCAAACAGACCCGTCTCCATTGATCGGATCTGCCAATTTGACCCAAGAACCCAACTCAACCCAACCCGACCGATTATGCCATGTTTTGTGAAGAGAAGATTAATAGAACACCTTATGCCTGCCAACGATCCAACCCAAGAGGTAAGTGTCACACACAAGAATCGCTTCCCTCCACTGTCGAGTCGAGGACACGCCATCTCCCTTCCTAGGCATGTGCCTTACTCACGTGAGAAATGCATTACAGCGCATGGTGAGTCCTTTTTTGGCCCGTTTGACCTGTTCGATTAGGTGCCTCAGCTTGTAATTTGATGTCTAGAGCTAAAATGTCTCAAAATATACTATAGGAAGATATAACTAGTTGTTAATTATTGCTACGCACGTTACTTTTAATTTATGACATTACTTTCTTTAAAATAGTTTTCAACGTATTTCCTCGCACACATTTTCTAAAACATTTTTCACAAACATAATCCGAGGTTCAAGCATATGCCGATATTATCCGCAAAATTTGAATTTCACATGGCTTACTTGTTCACTAGGTTAGAACAAGTGTCGCACAATAGTTATCCCGCTACTACAAAAGTATGATTGTGACACCAACCATACATAAAAGCCCGTGATAGAGGAGAGAAGGTAGAACAGGGGAGAAAATCTACCCATATCCCCAATTTTTCACCGATTTTCATATGGAGAGGCGTGGTTGAGGACAATTTAAGCAAGGAAAGTAGGTTTGAGCAATGTTAAGTTTAGTTTTAGAGAGTTTGGTTGTAGGAAGGACTCGAGATACCCATGCTCAACTGTACTTGTTGAAGCTTAGGCTCATGGCGATTGGAGTACCGTTTGGCCTCGAGTCTGGTCGAAAAGTTTGGTCGAGCGGCCGAGCTCCGAGGAAGAGCAATCAGTACAAAAAAAGAGGAGCTAAACCGGGACTCGACCCTTGTTTTCTAGTATTCCTTTACTCAAAAATAATAATAATAATAATGCTTACAAATCATCAACTATAAATATTACTAGAAAAAACAATTTATAATTTTGAGATAAAAAAAAAAAAAGAAGAAATTTCAAACAAGCTCTTACCATGATGAAGTTATTTGGAGTCAGATAAGTGGTTTAGAATTAGCAGTTCCACTAGAAGCCCCTCATATGTAAACTCTTGGAAGCTTTCTAACAACACAGAACAATCAACTAATTCTGTCATGTGGTGTAAAGATTGAAATGCTTCTCAGTTTTCACAGCAGACAACAAACTAATTCTAATGAAAAACTCGAACAATCTTTAGAGGAGGCGCGCTTCCATCAACCTCCCTGCCTCGCCATCTTTCTATCATACATCCAAATGTAGAGCACAAACTGCACGAAACTAGAGCTTCTACTCTCGGGTCTTTGTTGACAAACATCTCGCTTAAAACTTCATTTCTCTCTCGAGTTGCCAACCCCACGACTGTTGGTCTTCGTCAGTAGCTCTATGCATAATAGTTCAGGCTTGCTTTCTTCTTGGCTTGAACCTGGATGATCCCTTCATTGAAGTCCTCATGGTTCACCTGATTGTTCCACCAAAACACAGAAAAAGGGATCAAATGATCGGTAGTTCTTCAAATTCATTCAACCACTGCAACCTTCATCATCCTTTTTTTTTTTTTTTTTTTTTTTTTTTTTTTTTTTTTTTTTTT